CCCTAATCATTAAGCATTAAGTACTAATTGTTAATTACTAAGTGTAATTGCTAATCATTAATCACTAAGCATAATCACTAATCGTTAATCGCTAAGTATAATTCTAATCGCTAATTATAATCATTAATTACTAATTGTTAATTGTTAAAGACAGTATTATTTATCACCTGATTTTTTTTTATCAAAGGCCTACCCCTCTCCTCTTACTATATATCTTGATCAGGTCTTTATATATAATTTTAAATTTTTTATACCTTTCTCTTAAAAAATCACCTGATTTTTGTCATGTTCCTAAATGTTAAGTATTAAACACTAAGCGTAATATATATCTGTTAAATTCACTCTAATAATAATAACTAAATAATAATAAAATAAAATAATAAATCAATTTACAACAAATTTTTAATCAACTCAAGGCTAAAACTATATTTTATTAAAAAGCTAGTATAAGAAACAAAGTTTCTCTTACTAAAGAAAAAGTAATTTTTATTTTATTAGAATAGCTTCTTATAAAAACTTTTTTTTTAATATTAAGATAACCTTTTGGTTATATATTTTTATTCAGTTATAGTTATAATTTTTACAATATGATTTTTATACTATATACATATTTGGAGAGTACAACTAACCATACATGCAACTTTTGGTTGCTTATTTTAAGTAGTCTGCTTATTACTAAGTTCTACACTAGATGTTATACCTATAATTTGATTAGGAGGTTATCTATTTAAACCCTTTGTGACTATGTAATTACACTATTAACCGAACGAGGATCCAATGCAGATACCTTTAGTTTCAGATATCTACTTAGAACTTTAAAGCAGCTTTTTGCCTCCAAGAACCCTTTATCCTTGAGACAAACCTGCTAGAGCCTTCTGTACTTTCAATCTGACTAATTTAGTCTTCAGTTGATATATATAGGTTGAAGCTTACACTTGCACCCTAGTTTTCATATTGGATACTATGGTCTAATTACTGCTACATAACATACTTCTGCCCTTATAGAGTTTACCCAAACCTCAGTACATATATTACAGACCATCTACAGTATTCTTGACTATTTCAAACTACTAATTCAGATGGCCTGGAAGGGCTGTAATTTGCTTCTGGTTCTCACAGTTGGGTTCTTTTTCTCTGGTTACTCTTTTAATAGCCTGGTTAGTAGAGTACCTTGCCAAATACTTCGGTTCTGTTTAGTTTTTGCCAGTTCTTTCGATAATAATCCTTTACATAGTACCATCAAAGATTTGTGCTACCTCTCTATTTAGAACTTGCCAAGTGAGTATCCTACTATTGTATCAACCTTGTAGCTTTTTGTGATCTGAAAATCTATTCATATAACTCATATATTACACAAATACTCTAGGATCTTCCAGTTCTGATGAATTGGTATGACCACAGTTACAGGATCTTGAGTTTTTCTGGCCACGACAATAGTTACCAAATCTATTTTCAAAATTCAAATTTTGTCTTCTGTAAAAATTGAACTTGTACTCAACCGTTTGGGAGTATGATAACTTCACTACTTCACTAAGTTGCCACACCCAACTTTTAGGCTAGCAACAAAATAAAGACTTTCAAAAAATTTTTAGAAAATTTTTGAAAAATTTTGAAAATTTGTCTAAACCCTGAAAATCTGATCTTAGAGATATATAAACAATAACAACAAAACAAACACATAAGATCAGATAAACAAACAAATAAATAGTAGATTACATTACTATTTTTAGACAGAACAAAATATGACTGATAACAACAACAATAACACAAACAATAAACGTGATGATTAACTACAATTAGAAGTAGATTTTTCTAGAAAGTCTAGTTTAGTAGAGATAAAATCTAAAACAACAGACTTAGAATTTAGCTTACTAAAGAAAAGAATTAAACTTAAACTCAGTACTAAAATGATATCTTTAAAGAAAATTAAAAGTGTTTTTGTACTACTAATAAAACAAAGACAGAAGATATATAAGATGCAAAAAAGATTTATTCTCCAAACTGACAGAAGTGTAGCAAATTTTTTGAGATTAGAAGATCCAGAATTTGTATTATTTATATGTATAGCATTAGAAAATTACAAAACAACTTTTCAAAAATACTCAAAAGAAGAGAAACTAAACGCAGAAAACCAAGAATTAGTAGATATCGATTTAAGGACTAAAACAATAAACTTGAATGATTATGCTACAAAAAAATATCAAAAGAAAAATAAAAATACTTTACTAGAACTGAAGGTAAAAAAAAAAAAAATCTCTACTAGTTCAGGTCAAAATAAAAGTAAAAGAACCTACAGCCCAACTAGTCATTTATGAAGTAACTTAGAAAAGGAAGTATATAGTTATAAAAGATATTAAAGAAATAAATAAAAAGGAACCTGAGCCTAAATGACAAGATAGCAGTATAGATAAAATAGCTGAAGCAATTCTAAATAAATCAGAAAAAGAAATTTTAAAAAATTCAGATGATGAAAAGATAGAGAATAAATAATTTTGCTATATGCAGAATATAGAACTTATAACAAAGGGACCAAGAAGACAAAAGACCTTGTACAATAAGATATAGTAAAAAACAATAAAAGTCCCATTTAGAAAAAAGAAAAAAAAAAAAGTACAATATTATATATGAAAGCATATATAGATCTAAATAGATACCAAAAGATATCAACAAATCAATCTAGATACCAAAAAACAAATCTAAAGAGGAATTACTAAAAGAAAAAGCAACACTAAAAGAAGAAATACTTAAGAATCTAGCGAAAGAAAAAACAACCCAAAGTCTCAAACCAGAATACAAGTTAACTTTATAGGACCTACCAGAAGATACATAGGCTAGTAGAGTAAGAAAAAGCCTTAATTTCTATAGTAAAGCAAAAGTTTTTAAATAGAAAGATTCTCACTAAGAGAGCAAGAAGTCCAAAGCAGCCTATATTCAAATTATCTGTTAGAATCAAGAAAGATTTAAAGCACTTCAAGAAAGTTGAATAATATACTTTGAAGAAGGAAGTATATGTCAATTAACTTCAGGTTACTTTGACAAAACAATGTTAAATAACAAAAGAAAATAGATAGCCAGACTACAAGATCTTTCTCCTAACATACTAGAGTTTTTATTTTTTTGTTAGCTTAAACTGACTAAGACCAAAGCAGTATATATTCCTTATAATAGTAATAGTAACAGAAGAAGTATTGTGTTAGTATATTTCAAGAATGAAGAAGATTGTCTTAATATACAAAGAAGACAAGTTTATTATTATAATAAAAAATTGGTATAGATAGATTTTAAAAGAAAAAAAGAAAAAAACCTATCTATACTGAAGTATTAAACAGAAATTTGAAAGATATAAATATGACGAACAAGAGCAGCCCTGACAAAGAAGAAAGAAGCCAAGCAAAAAACAAAGAGAAACAAGTCAAGACCTATAATGAAAAGGGAAATATAAAAGAACTAGCAGAAGAAATATTATAGGTAGATCTAGAAGCAAAGAAGCAATTTTATAAACAATTCATAAGCTCACAACCAGAAGATAAAAAGAATAAAGTCCTTAACTTGAAAAACAGAATAGATCAGCAATTATTAGAAATTTTTTTTTGAAGATTTGTATCGATTGCTAGCAGCAGAGACTATTGTAATCGATTTTTTATACAATATATATCGATTATTGGTTATATATCGATATATATCACTAACGATATATATTGATTATTATAAATTTGTTAAATTTTATTAAACTTTGACATAGATTTTCTTAATAACTATCAATTAAAATTAGTTGAAATTTTACTATAGATAGTATTGGTATTCAACTATGATATATAAAAATTTCAACCAATTATAATTTCTGGTTTACAAGAAATCGTGATAGTTAATTTTTTTTAAAAAATTAACTATCATATAAAATTAATTACTTGTGAACTAGTGATTATAATTGGCTAAAATTTTTATATGTCATGGTTAAATAACAATACTATTTACAGTAAAAATATCAACCAATTTCAATTGATAGTTATCAAAAAATCTATATCAAAGTTTGATAAAATTTAACAAATTTTTTACTATTACTAATGTTTATACTTGGCAGGGGTGATATATATCAATTAGAATCTAGGAGATTATAATCGATATAAGGTAAGTATGGGTATTGTGGTGGAGTTAAGAGAAATTTTGGCATAACTCGGGATCCATTGATCCAAATTGAACGATTTTAGTACCATTCGATTCGTCTCATCGAGACGAATCGAATGGTACCAAAATCGTTCAATTTGGATCACAGAATCACGAGTTATTTACAATCGTATGTTATACAAAATTAGAAGGGGTATTGTAGTGGATAAGGGTATTGTGGCGGATTTGCAATAACTCGTGACTTATCAGTCCAATCTAAACGATTTTTATGCCATTCGAATCGTCTCATCGAGACGATTCGAATGGCACAAAAACGTCTGATTTCGATCACTGGGTCACAAGATATTGGTGTTAGAATAGTGTCCAAATATAAGATTAGTTTTTTTTCAAAAAATTTGATTTATAACATTCGAACACCAATATCTCATGATCCAATGATCGAAATCAAACGATTTTTATACCATTCGAATCGTCTCGATGAGACAATTCGAATGGTATAAAAATCGTTTAGTTTGGATCGATGGGTCACGAGTTATAGCAGATCCGCCACAATACCCTTATCCGCCACAATACCTATAGTTACCTTATACGTACAAATATTTATTATAGTATTACACTAAATGTTATTTAACTTTACATTTACATGCAGCTTTATTTATAAACAAATCACTAGCACTAAATATTTCGAATTGCAGAAAAACAAGAAAGCAAATACGAATATATGAATGATACCAATAAAAACCCAAGTAGTATTTTTGGGGGTTTCACCTTTTTAAGCTTAGAGTTCATTAAGTATAACTTTATAATTACAATACAAGCTATAAAATTATGCCTTGTACGCTGTTTGTACGTAGAAAAATAAACTATTTGTTGTGTTACTTCGTCTCTTCTTCTGTCTTTTCCTCACTTGTTTGCTCTATATCTTTTTTAGAACACTTAGCAATATTATAACCTGGTTTTTTACAGTTACTACAAAGATTCGGACCCCTTTTTCTCTTTCTATGTGTTGTCAATTCTTGCATTGTATTTTTATTCATCCTATTTGTCTCATTGTTATGATGACTTACGGATTTTGGTCTGTCTCTTGTAATTACTTTTCGTGGATTTCTAAGTTGAACATTCATTAACTCATTTTCTTTATTTGAATCATCATCTAAATCAGAATTTCACCTATTTCTTCGAATAAGATTATCTTCACGTTTACGTATACTTGCCAAATAGTTTTTAATAATCTTAATAAATTTCTCATCATGATGCAATACTCTTCCATAAAATAATAGTTCATCAACAAAACCTTCATTTGTATTGTTTTCTTGCTCATTCATATCATGAAATGGCTGAATCCAATTAAAACTTGGACTTTTGTTTTTTATGTTCTCCTTATTCTCTATAACGCTGTCAACAAAACGTTACCCAAAATGATCACTTTCCACTACTACATCCTGATGAGATTCTTTAGGAATCTATCTAGAAGTAATAAGTTTCATATTAAATCGTGCTGTTTGTATGATATTCAATAAATGAAAATAGTGACGGCAAACAAGCTCTTTTTTTTGTTGAAGTAAACATATACAACAGTATGCCCCATTTTTTAGACAAAACACAATATGATTTATATTATGACTTGTAATCTGTGAAATATTCCAAATTTCAACAATGCTAGAATAGTCTAATTGTTGTAAAAGAAATTTTGCACATATAGATATACTATCCAATTCATCCTTTAGATCTTTATCCTAAGATGGCTCATTAATAGACATATTTTCAACCTCTTTAATACTAGAACGTGATGCAATATAATAGACGCTTTCTTTTATTTGATTAAGCAAATATTGTATAATATTTGGCCGTAAATAACACCTAATAAGTGCTTCAATAGTTGGAAAGACTGTTACAGTATTTGATGTTGAAGGAATACTACATATCCAAGCTTCATATTGTTTTTGTTTCAGCCGTTCTTCAACATGATTCATCATAACCTTACCAAGTTCATAAAGAGAGGTGTTATTGTTTTCAAGAACATGTTTTATACAAGCATTCTGGTTTTCCATGAATGATATTGACTCAATTTCAAGCGTAAATAGCATCATCGTAAACTCACGTGCCTATACTTTACGTCACTTATACAACTATCTTTCAAGATATTCTGATGCTATTGGATAATTTGTAATCATCTCTCTCCAGTAATAATTGAAAACATCAGGAGTTTCAGCATTTCGGCATTTCCAAAATGCAGAATAAAAATCTGCAAATGAATTACCCAATTTTCTACGAAGTGCTTTTTTGAGATTCTCTTTTATATACCAAATACAAAGAAGATGACGTGCCAGTGGATACTCAATAATAATCGCACGTTCTATAGCAGGGTCCCCATCAGTTATAATTACATTAGGTGTTCGGCCTTGTGTTGCTTTTTTAGTCATGTATAGCACCCATTCATATGAATCTGTAGTCTCGTCGCTCATTAATGCTTGTACAACTATCCTAGATTGCATATTATTATCTAATACTACAAAGATTGATAATAGCATATTATATCGATTCGTCTCTGTAGTGTTATCATGGCCTATTGTATCTCCAAATTCACACTATAATAAAATTTGATCTGGACTCATCCAGAAAAAACCAATAAGTGTGCTTGTCTTAATTTCCCACTTCGCTTCTACAAACCACCGAGGATCTTCACATTGTTTAGACAATAATTCTTCATAAAAGCGAGCTGCATCACCTTCAACAAATCATGCAGATGGCTTGTGTTTCTTGATCTCAGCATAAAGGTCTTGAGGAAAAATTGAGTGTAATAGATATTTTTGGTTAAAAATTCGCTTAATCATGGTTGCACCAAAATTACATTTTTTCACATAAAATGCAATATCATCTTGCATCTCCTTAGTAAATGCCTTTAATTTCTCAAATTGTAGAGCTTCAATGAACAACTCATGGTTATGTTCATCCACTAATATTGTTATATAAACAAGCAAATTCGGGTTTTGTTTAAGTGGTCATGAAAGATTAATATGCTACTGACAACCCTATCTAACAGATATTTCAGGATTTTTTGGATTTTTTGCTTTATATTGACCAGAACGGCAGTAGATTGTTCTTTTTCTCATCACTTTGTCTGTTCCCATTGCAGTGCTTCGACCTAACCGTATTTTAAACCCTTTAAACTCTGCATATCATTGTATATATTCTTCAGCATGTTCAAAATCTTCAAACGGATCCCCTACTTTTACTGAAATTACATCTAAATTATTTGTCTCTTCTCTATTATGACTTAACGCTTCAAAAGAGCTCTCACTTCCTTTACTTGCTTTACTGGCCTTATTTTCTTCGTTTTCTTGACCTGCTTTATTTACCCAAGTTTCCTGTTCTACATCACTTATGTCACTTGCTTTGTTTTGGTTTTTTCTACTTACTTCATTTGGACTATCGTATACCTTATTTGTCATTATTTAATCTCAAATAACCCCAGGGCCAATAAATAGCAGAAATCATGTAACAAATATTACTGTTACAGCTTGAAAGAAGTAACTTCAACGTAAGTACACCCGGAGCTGATAAACCACAAAATAGTATAACAATAAACAATTTGTGAAGTATTTGTATTGTATGAGTTTTTATCCTGACTGTATTTACTTTTACGTAGACTTTGGCTTTCGCTTTTTGTTAGCAAAAGAGTTAACTTTTTTCTTGTTTACATTTTTCATTTATACTAATTAAATGCATAATTTGTGCAACTCAATTACAGGATATTTTACTTTCCGCTATTACAGATTTGCGATTGTTTGATCGATACTTTTATTCTTTGCTATACATATTCGTGATCGTCAAACCGATGCACTGTGGTGTATAATGCGCTATTTACTAATTCCCAAATTTTAAAATATATGTATTTAGATCTTTTGAACAAACTTTACTTAATATACATAATTGATTTACTTAATAAAATTTTTTGCAATTAAGCAAATTTACTTTTATTTTTATATTATATTGCTGATTTGTGAAATTGGCAATAACTTTTGATCTACTGGTCTGTTTGGAATGATTTTATCACCAAAATATTTATCTTAGTAAAGGATTTAACAAGCTCTAAATTATTAAAATCTAATTACAAGATCCTAAGATCATTATGATTTTGTATTATTTTATTAGTAATTTTTAGATTACTATTAAAAATATCTTTAATATTAAATAACTTTTGATATATGATCTGTTTTTGATAATTTTACTACCAAAATATTCATCTTAATAAGATGATTCTAACAAGTATAAACCTATCAAATTCTAATTACTGGATCTTAAGATTGTTAAAGATTAATATATATATAAATAATCAACTTAAAAATAGTTTGTACTATATACAACCTATTTTTAAGTTGATTATTTATATATATGGGGGTAAGTTAGTAGAAAAGAAACAAATCATTTTTAGTAAATTTTTTTTAATTTTTAAATTAAAATATCTTAACAATTATTTAATCAAATTTGCTAAAATTTTTTTATTTTAATCTTGAATTATATAGAATTAAAATAAAAAAAAATTATTAAATTTAATAAGATAGTTGTTAAAATATTTAAGCTTAAAGTTAAGAAAACTTTTACTTAGAAAAAATTTGTCCTTTTTCTACCAACTCACCCTATATATTAATCTTTAATGATCTCAAGATCTAGTAATTAGAATTTGATAATTTTATACTTGTTAAAATCATCTCACTGAGATGAATATTTTGGTAATAAAATCATCAAAAACAGATTAATATATCAAAACTTATTTAATATCAAAAATATTTTTAATAGTAATTCAAAAATTACTAATAAAATAACAAAAAATTATAAATATCTCAGAATTCTGTGATTAAATTTTAATAATTTTGAGCTTGTTAGAATCTTCTCACTAAGACAAATATTTTGATAATAAAATTATTCCAAATAGACTAGTAGATCAAAAGTTATTGTCAATTCTACAAATCAGCTAATATGTTTTTAATTCTTATTATTAAAAATTTTATATTGTTATATTAGACAATTTTGATTGGCTAATAATACCATATTATATAGCACCTGATAACTTCTCTAACCCTTTTTCTTCTAAAAATCAAATAATAAATGTCTATACCCTAATGATATTGTTATAAAGTGGATTTTTATAGTATTTTAGTATAGAAATTTTAGTTTTTATTAACTTAGTATTATTTATTATAAATATAGAGAACTGTTAATGCCACCTTCTACTTTTGTTAATGCTACTTTCTATATAACTCTAACTGGTTTAAAATATTGAAAATTCTACAAATAGTATTTAGAAACAGTGTGAATTCATGTGATTACTTAGTTAAAAATTAGGGTAAGCATTGTTCAAAGAGTTTCTAGAAAGGTTAAAGGTCAATTAGAGCTATATAGAGGGTGGCATTAACAAGTCTCTAAATATATTATTAGTTAGTTTATTATTAGTTATATTTAGTATATTATTAGTATATTATATTATATTATATTATTATATATATATTAGATAGTAATTTTATAGTCATTGTATAGAAATAATTTAATTAGCTAAAAGGATATGTGGCACAATCACATGATCTACATGACCTAAAGTAATACAATATTATACAAAGAAATATTTTAGATTATACAAAAAGCTAATACAAGAAAATAATACAATTTTCTCCAAGTTCCTCTATACAAAATCTTTCAGATTCTTCTATACAAACTTAAGTATTTCGAATACAAGTTATTATATCGCAAACCTAGTACCACATCGCAGAATCCACTAGATTCTTTTTTCCCAAACTCTCTCTCACAAACAGTAAATAAAATATAAACAAAATAAGTAATGTTTATATTTTCTCAACTTCACTTAGTACAATTTCTCAACTTCTACTAGTATGATTCTCTAACTTTCTCTGCCAAGTATTATTTTTTTACTATACATTGTATACCTTTGCTTTAAGCAGAAAAGATATATAAAAGGTGCTTTTTCATCTTCTTGCCAAATCTTAAGTTCCTATATTTCAATTAGACTCTAATAATCTTTAATCCTTCTTATCTTGTAAAGTATGATATTTCTTCTTTAAAGTAATTCCTATAGGCAAGGCTTATCACTATTCTTGTATTAAATAAAGTTATTCTATATACTATTACTATCTCAAATTATTTGCCTGCTGCTATATAGTTAAGTAAACAACTATACCTCTATTCTGTATATATTTGCAATAGTCAATTACTGTACCAGATGATCTTGTTATTTGGTTGTATTTTACTAAAAAGGCTATAGCCTTATAATATTTTGGTGCCTTTTGGCAGAAACATAAAATTTTATGAGAAGCAAAATTTACCCTCTCTTGAAAGCAAACCTCTCTTTCTCTCTCTCTTTAGAAGAAAACTTTCTTGCAGAAATTAATTTCAACTTTCTTGAAACAGCAAAAGCTATTAAAAAATATTCTAGAAATTTATATTTTTGGTATACCCTCTATTAACTTAAGTAGTATTGCATTTATTAAATTGTATTTTAGAACTGTATTATCACAAAGTTTATACTTTTACTTCCTACTACTATTAACTTTCTTGTTGGCTATATATAAATTTTTGTTTAAATTTTTAGAATTTTGTTTTATTTGTTATTTTTACTTAAGTTATTTTATTTTATTTTATTCACGAATCTTTTTTTTTTTTTTTTATTTGCTAACAACCTTATTGATTTATTTTTTTGTTTTATTTTATTTAACTTTTTTATCATTTTATCATTTTGTTATTATTAATCTTCTTTAAAGATATTTTAATTTTATGAGAGATTTGTTAACTCATTACTATTTAGATAATATTCAAAAGCATAGACAAGCCTAAATTAATAATACCTCACATATTATTATTATTATTCAATCTATTGTATCTGATTTAACTTGTACCCAGTGCTATCCTATATCACTTACTTCTCATGAACATTTTGTTGACTTTTGAAATTGGTATTTTTAAGCCTATAATACTGCAATAGCTACTTATTTTAATTTTTAAAAACTAGCTACTGCAGACCAAACAATAGCTCGTATACTTGTTCAAAATATTATCTTTAGTTGCCAATATTAGAAAGCAGTATTGTATCTTGATCAACTGCCCAACTTCTTTTTCAAAAATATGCTTCTCACTATAACCTTTGCAAGACTTTTAATACTTATATCAACTACTATGATATTTTTATTGATAATCCTACTGCTATTTAGTCTTATATTTGAATATTATATTCAGACAAAGAACAACAAACTTTAGGAAAAATTACTACTCCTGTTTTATATCTATCTTTTCCTAATACTGTTATTAATATAGAAGAGTCTGTTATTGTCTTTACTTTAACTTTTATACCTATTACTTAGCCAAAAAGACAGAAAGAATTTTTTATCTCATCTAATAATTTAGGAAATAATCTAGAAAAAACAATTTCATCACCTACTCTACTATCTTGATTTATTTAGAAATTTTTTAAAATTTTAGAATCTATTAGTCCTTGTTGAACTGAATCTTCTTCTACTTCTGAAACCCATCAAGAAGACACTTAATCTGTTAATACTAAAATCTCAAATACAAAAGAAACTACTTTATTACTAGTACATACTGTAGATAAAGAAATTACTACAACTACCTATTCATTTAAGCAAAACTACCAATCTCTTTATCTTAGATTAAAACATCTAGCCCACCATCAGAATACTTTTATTCAAATATTCCAAATATCTTTAGTTTAGCTTTTACTTACTCTCTACTTCATCCTCAACTCTCTAAAACAACCACTACATATAATTATCTTTCTTAAGAGAACTTAAACTTTTTCGAATGATTAAAATCAAGAAATTTAGAACAGAGTCCTTTATCTTTATCTAATCAAACAAGCTCTTAACTATAACCAGAATCAGATAGTTCAGATATTGGAAAAGAAGAAAATATGGGTGACTTGGAAGAAGCTGCTTGAGCTATAATCTAATTAGCCAAAGCTATTAGAAAAGAAAAAGGAAAAGAAAAATCTCTTATCAAGATTAAACCATTTAGAGAAGATGGTACTGAAGATTTTATTGATTAGATTAATGAATTTTAAATAAACTACTATTGCCAATAACTAGAGTATTGCTAGAAAACTTGCTATTGCTAAAGCCTATATACATAACAATACAGAAAATTAGTTAAAAGGATTAGAAGAAGAAATTTAACAATATGATACTAGTTATATTGATAATCAATTCAAAGTCAAACAAATTCTTAGAACAATTTATGATTACCAAGAAGCAAGCTATATAGCAACAAAAATTTTTGATTTAAAATAAAGAATAAATACTGTAAATATTTATGCTGCTCAGTTTAAAAAACTACAAAAGAAAATAAACTCAGATCTAGAATATATCTTCTCTAACCCTTTTATTGTTCAACTTTTCATAAAAGAATTACAATCTGAATATACTATTCA